GATATCAGAAAGAACAAACAGTAGCACTTTGAAGAAAACATAAAAGAAAGAACAAATCTGTAGATGAAACGAATAAAAAGGGAAGTGAAGGTAAAGGTGACCAGGCACAATTTTTGACGCACTTAAAGTTGTGGCTGGGCCTCTCCCCCCTTTTTTCGAATAGGAGTGCACCACGAATGAGTTCGAGGAAATAAAAATAAAAGTTTATACACACGGTAGAGTAGAGTAAGTGTAGCATAAACAAGTAATTTTCAAGGTTTAAGGCCATGAATTCTCATAAGCAAAATTCAAATTCAGTTGAAAGTCTCCTCCTTTATATCCGTCTGAGGCAGGCGTCGCACAGTTAATTTGAATTGACTAACTTAATTCAATGGGCTTAAAACACTCCTTTTTAGGATGTCACGAGAGCAAAAGATAATTGAAAATCAAAATTTAAATATGATAAAATTCGAGATTTCTCAAAGAAATTAAGGTAGCCAGCACTATAAAAATTCCGACCCTGGGCGGAAAAAGGCTCGCATTGGATCCATTTTTGCAGGTACTCTCGGAGTTTGAACATTGCAGGTACTCATATTGGAGTTTGAACATCGGAGTCCCAAAAGCGAGAAAAAAGGGTTAGCTCACATTGGATTCACTTACTGGCAGGTACTCTCGGAGTTTGAACGTTGCAGGTACTCATTTCGGAGTTTGAACCTTGGAATCGCAAAATGCGAGAAAAAGAGGGCTAGGCTGAAATTATAAATCCTTTAACAAATTATTTAATCTTAGCAAGAAATTTCGCGGGACCTTCTTGGTGCCTACATCTACTTTCTCCAACTTGAGAGTTGGCTAAGTCAAAATTTCGGGGGACCCCGTGTCTCTCCCTACTCTCTCCTACTTGCCTATGAATAAGATCAAAATAATATTGTAGAAATCTCGAAGTTTTGTCCTATAAATTTAAGGTTCAATTATCCCGGATAAAATAATCCGTCGGTTAGATCTTATACCTCCTAATGACACAAGATAAATTCAAAGATAAAGAGGAAACACAAGGGTACTTAGATAAAATTCTTCATTGACCGTATCGGCGAAAATCATGCTCTTCGATTGCTGGTGTCCCGGGCGCGTCAGTCAGGATCAGCATCGTAGGAGTCGGAATTCGTCTCAATCTCGCGTTCGTGAACGCTAAATTTGAAGGTGATGGTTGACCATTTTGACCAATGTAGAAAGTAAGACTGTTGAAGACAAGATGAAACAGCGGTTGGTGCTCAGGCAACTCTGTTGTCGATCTTCAGTTTGCTTGGCGAGGCAGGTTGTAACGGCGGCTGGATCTCTTTGGGGGGCGTTTTTCACAGCAAGCGTTTTTACTCAGTCACCAGTAAAAGGTTTCGGGACTGGCCAACGCTGCCTGCGTACAAAAGACTACAAGTCTAACTCTAAGTGAGCCTTTATTGTGCGTGAGATGCACTCTAGCGGGTGCATCTCACTGTTGGTGTTGTGAGTGTAAGGTGTGCGTCTTTAGTTGAGAACAGTTCCAGTTTTATAGGGTGATAATTGTTAGGTGGCGCAGTGTCGAAAGTAATCAATCAACCGGTTTCACCTGTGAAACCGGTGGTACAAGAAATACCGCGTCGCATTCATGTGTATTCACCCATGACTACGTATGAGACAGGAAACGTAAGGTTTACCGAAACCTTATAGGCGGAGATTTCTCCAGGAAGGACCAGAGCGATTTAAGCTCTATCAGGACGCAGCTGGGCGACGTCCCTATTTTCGAAGGTGGCTCCTTTGAGAGCACTAATACATTTATCGCCCGCTGCCAGAAGGTATTTGACTTGAGCGTAAAACCCAACATGAAACTCGAAAAAGAATTCATTGTGGACGTCAAATCGCGATGCTCCGTACATGTGACTCATCGAATGGGAAACGGGCACAAATCTTGGGAGGAGCTCAAGAAGGAAATTTTCGCGAATTTCAGTGGAGGAATTACGGCGATACAAAGTCTACAGCGGGCACTCAATACGCCTTACGACAAACGTAAAGGTTTCAAGAAACTAGCGACGCAGATCAGCCTTAATCTTGAAGCGGCGAAGGCGACAATCGAAAAAGCCTTAAGGGTACTATCTTCGATTTCCATAAGGTGTCTTCTCAAAAGATATATAAGAATCGGTTGTTAGAAATAGATTCTTTATTAGATTTTATGATTATATCTTATTGACAACTATTCGTAATTATCAATGTATCTTGAGATATGGCCTCTAGAAGTTTTTTCGAAAAAAATTTTGAACTTCGATTTTCTCGACCAAGTGCTTGTTCGAAAGCTCAGAGCAAGGGCAGTATTTTGGTAGCTGTATCGATTGCGACATTAAGATATTTTCGATTCTAGAGCCAAAAATGTGTCGCAAACTTTTAAAAAATGCTCAATTTTCGCAAAATCGGCGAGACCCAATTTTCAAAAAATTATTTTTGGTATTTTTAGTTTTTCAATGAAAAAAATCCTTCTGTAATTTTAAAGATAAATGCTCAAATTACAAATAAAAAATTAAATAAGGTCAAGTTATCAGACTTGTTTTCGAGTTATTCAACCGTTTATATAGGCCATTTTGGCGAAGATGACCACTTCAAGCCAAAATTTAGCCGCTTTTCGGTTGAGCAACTAATAAACGCCTCTGTTATAGTTAAGATCTAGGACAGATCTATTAAATGAGCCTATATCGACTCATCAATCATTCACAAGCTCCGAGTTATTCAAGGCTCAAGTTGGGGAAATCGAAGATAGTACCCTTAAGAAACAGGCATTGAAGCAGGAAGCTGGAAACGAGCCTGCCGTTGGGATCGAGATTGTCGAGCCGCTAACCGTGGACCGCCTCATGGACCACCTTGGAGCGTCGATTATGGCCACTATCATCCAGGTACATCACAATGATTTATACAAGTCGATGGCCCCAGTCTGGAAGAAGATATCTAATGCCGGGAACCTCGCAGAGCAAGCCGAGTACTACCAGACCCAGAGAAGCGGAGGTGAAATCTCAACTTATTACGGGCGAAGTATGAGAGGTGGCCTGTATCAAAAAAAGAGATAAAACGACAGCCAAAAAAATGACCGAAAAAGCGCATCCAACGCGGACAACAAGAAGTATGGTAGCTCGGGCGGAGGCTCGACTAATTCTAGAGAATATCGCTTTAATAAAAAAGGCAGCTTCAAGAAACAAGCGTATGTTAACAACGAAGAGGAAAAGCACCAGCTGGATGCAAGCGACAAGGAGATTTCCGAGGACGAGGCGAGAAAGGAGACAATGTTCATCTCAAACCGACGAACGGATTTTTGCTAAGGGCTGACGCCGCGTGCTACGCGTCAGACCCTGTTATCACCCAGGAAAGCACAAATCAAGCATACACCGGGGCAATTCAACCTCGGGTAAATTTAAAAATATGCGCGCCGACCGGTCAATCCTTCTCGTTCAATGCGCTCGTAGACACTGGCAGCTCAATAACAATGATATCAAAACGGGATGTTCCACCGCAGCTGGTAAATAATATACAGTTTTTTATGGAATTTGTGGACATCAAATTTGTGGACATTTTTCATGCTGCCGATTCTTCCAGTCAAATATCAATCCGATGAAGATTTTAAGAAGCAGCATAAAGAGCTCACTGAAGCGGTATTTATTTTTTAAAGTTTAATTGGATTATTCTTTTCAGCTCTTGACTGGAACTGACAACCCACTCGAAATGAGAGACTATCCCCTTCCTCAAGGAAGATTCGACAATGACGGAATCCACCCTACAACTCAAGCATCCATTGACTTCTCTTCTTCTGCAATCTCTATCATACAATAAATCATTCTTTAGCGTCATCTCAATGTTATATTTTCTCTTATTATTTTTGCAGTCTATGTATCCGTCGATTGTTTCTGTGGAAGTGAGCCCGCTTGGAAAGACTAGACATTCTTCATCGCCTTCATTTTTCCACAACGAGCTCCACCACCACAGAAAGGGGTGGGTCAATCGCAATTGACCATGTACAGGAGAAAAATACTGACTTTAGAATTCTCATGGACTGAGAAAACTCTGTGTAAAGTCAGAATTAAAATAAATTCGCAGAGAGAAAAAGATTTTCACATTTTATTTTCTCATGCACAGGTATGTATTCGCATTGTTTTTGTTGTTTTCAATTTATCAATGAAACTCCGACCGTTCACAATAAAGATGCCAGAGAAACCTCAGGGCTCGTATTGCCTTTCGTCATTATGCGGTTTTTTGTCCTATACTAGTGAACGTATTCAGAGCAGAACCACGATAATGCACTGTCAATCCGTCAAGTTATAACGATCCTAAGATATGAAAACAAAAATAGCAATACGAATCCATACATTTAAAAAGACCTATAAAAACTCTGACCGTTCACGATGTAGGTGCCAGAGAAACCTTAGGGCTCGTGTTGCCTATCATCAATTTGCGGTTTTTTTATATTAATGTGTGAACGTCTTAAGCGCAGAACCACGATAGTGCGCTTTCAACCTACACTTATGGAAGCCTAATTATTTGCCTTAGTCCTAACTTAGCGGTTAACCAGAAGACGAACTTTCTTCGCTCTCCGTAAGGGATGAGCCACCCCTTTCTTCGCTGAGAAAGAGGAATTTTCTTTCTTCTTTGAAGCCACATGGGCCTTTCTCTTAAATCAGTCAACAAAAAAAGTAGCTGAACTTTGCTTATTACAGAAAAAAACAGATGACAAATTTCTTCGCTCTCTTTCTTCTTTAAAGCCACAAGGGCCTTTCTCTAAAATCAGTCACCAAATGAACAGCTGAACTTTGCTGTTTTTACAGGGAAAAAGCAAGATGACGAGTTTTCTTCGCTCTCCGTAAGGGATGAGCCACCCCTTTCTTCGCTCTCAGTAAAGACCGAACCAGCATTTACAAATTAGACTCGAAGCCGCAAGCGGCTTCTTGTCTCGAGGACAAAGGATAGACATAACGAGGATGAAACAGAATGGAGAAAGAAGGAAGAGCGAGAGAGATTTAATGACGTGGATTTTTCACCTTGAAAGATCCCTTATTTGCTTTGTATCCTCGTTCAGGATTCGATCCGTCTCTAGCGATCGTTTCCTTTGCACGCCTGAGGATTCCTCTGCAAGCGTTATTGATCGCGTCTTGGGAGATGTTCGCCCATACACGAGTTAAAATCTCTCTCGCTTCCTCGAATGAATCGAAGTATAGCTTGTTCATTCGACCCAGCTCCTTCTTTGTATCCATTTTGAACTTGTGCCAAATGCAAAAGTCCAAAGGATTGAGGTCAGGAGAGTGCGCTGGCCATTCAGCCAAGCGCTCTCTGCGAAACCTTTCACCCTCCCCTGTTTTCGCCAGAACACCAGTGATGACATTGTGGATGCCAAAAGTTTCGTCAATGAGCTTGAGCGATGAGGTTGCTGTGTGGCATGTCGCACCATCTTGAGCGAAAATCTTTCAGTCAAGAACGTGCTTAACGCCCTCACCATTTTCAACCTCCTTAACGAAGCCCATTTCTTTGAGCTCTTCAATCCATGGAACAAAGACAAGCTCCTGATAGCTCTTCTGGGTTCCAGATACAGAGGAAAGCTTTCCCCTGTTGTCCTCTCTGACGAAAAATCGAAGCGACAACTTCAAATCGATTCCGATTGCAGCTGCAAACATTATTCTTTTCGGAAATTTTTTGCTGAAATTAGGACCGAGTGTTTCGTCGCGAAATTGTAACGAACACTCATCTGTATGGATGAGCATTCCGAGGAAATTTGGATGCTCGTCATTCGTTTCCTCCAGCCACTTACAGAATCGCAATCTCGTATCCTTTACTTCAGCAGGAAGCGCTGGTTTCGGCTTTTCCTTATTTCTGAACTCGTATCCCATTTTATGGAAAAGAGTCTTCACCCTTTGATACTCCGCATATGACCCCATTCCGACATTGGCGCACGCCTCTTTAAGACAATGAGACTTAGCGAAGTGACTATCACCGTCTCTATGGATCTGGGCTAAAAAGTTTGGACAGTCTGCTTTTCTTCGTCTGTCAAATCGCGTTCAACGATCTCACGTGGTTGAAAATACTTTGAGATGAATATTTCCTTCTCAAAATACTTGATCTGACCGTTGACGCCAACTTTGAGGACACGATGATCAGCTCGAACTGCCTGATCCAATCGCTCGGGCTTGTCAAGAAGCAGCGAAAGAAATGCGAAATTCATTTCTTTGACGAATCGCTTTGGTCCAAGCTCGAAGTATTTGCAAGAATTCGAGCAAAAGGCTTGCAAAACAAGTCTTCCGAGAGCGTGCTTTGCCAATTTTTTCCATGTTCTTGGAGGTCCGATCACCGGAAGAACGGCAAAATCCTCATCTGGAAGTTATTTTGCGGCTTTTCGAACAGATTTCCCAACGAAAATGACCTTGTCATCAATAGCTCTCAAAACGGCATTACGTCGCTCGACACATTCAGCATCAAAGACTGCCTGAATCGGGCGTTCAACCATTGGGAGTTCATCAAGCTCGTCTTCGGAGACGTATAAGATGTTCAGATCATCTTCGTTCGGAATGTCGACGAACTCAATCTCGGGTTCATGATCAAAATTCTGTTGAAGATACTCGACCCCAGGTGACAATTTGTCTGACTCATGCTCAAAAATCATCTCCTCGCCCGACTGCGCGTTCGAGTTCTGAGAAGATAATGCCAGAGAATCGATATCTGGTGTCTCTTCTATGCGGTAGCTTGTGAACTTTTCACTGCGAGTTGGAGGAGGGACAAGAGCTTCATCAGAAATTACGAATGCTGATTTCGAGGCTTTCGAGATGTTTATTTTGACAGCTGGGTTCGAATTTTTGATCAAGAGCTTGCTTTGCCATTCTCCTGCTTTTCTTGGTGCCTGAACTTTCGAGGCAATGATCGGATCAAGATGAACGACCTTTCCGTCATGAGAACGTTTTGAGGGAAGGATCGGTTTCATGTTATTGATGCCAGACTTTTTAATAATTCTGCTGAAGCATCTATCAGAGGCTTTATGAGCGGAGGGAACATGTATTTCGAGCTTTACATATGCGTTATCATCATCGTAAAGCTCCAGTAAATCTTGAAGTTTTTTGAGAACTTCTTTTCGCCGGTAACGACCCTAACCCTAACCCAAACCCATATTGCACCTAACCCATATTGCACCTAACCCATATTGCGCCAAACCCATATTGCGCCAAACCCATATTGCACCAAACTCTTATTGCACCAAACCCATATTGCACCGAACCCAAAATGCGCCAAACCCATATTGCACCGAACCAAAATTTCAACCGAGCCCAATTTCAAAAATTCAAAAATTAAGGAATGGGGCTGAAACGGCCCGAAGGGCCGTCAAGCCCTTTAAATTCAAAAATCAAGGCATGGGGCTGAAACGGCCCGAAGGGCCGTCAAGCCCTTAAAATTCAAAAATCAAGGCATGGGGCTGAAACGGCCCGAAGGGCCGTCAAGCCCCTGAAATTCAAAATCAAGGCATGGGCTGAAACGGGCCGAAGGGCCGTCAAGCCCTTTAAATTCAAAAATCAAGGCATGAGGGTGAAACGACCCGAAGGGCCGTCAAGCCCTTACATTCAAAAATCAAGGCATGGGGCTGAAACGACCCGAAGGGCCCTCAAGCCCTTTAAATTCAAAAATCAAGGCATGGGGCTCCTTAAATTCAAAATTTTTAATGGATACGGGGGCTGATCAAGGAAGAAAATTTTCGCTCAGACTTGCTCAGAGCATTTGAGCACGCATTTCAGAGACTCGTGAGCATGAGCACGCGAATGCTCAGATTATATTGAGCTTGAGCACGGCTGAGCACGAATTTCCGCCTCTGGGCGACAGCAATTATAAGTTTGAGGATGAAAAGATGATCCTGTGTTCTTAAAGAAGCTAAAGGGTTAACTTTGGCGGGTCTCTCAAATTGAGATGAACTCGTTTTTTCTGTGCCATGGGTTGAAAATTCAAGAGTACATAAACTACCGCTGGCTCGAGGTAAGGGATTGAAATCGATTAGGATCAACTTCAATTTGGAACTTCCAAAGTATCTGAAACTGTGTCCGAACTAGAGTTGTTTAATGAACTTTTTGGGCGGGCGGATTTTAGTACAAACATAGAACGTTGGTTTCCCAAATCACCATCATCCTTTTGTATATTTCGAAAAGCCCCTCACGCACTAGATTAGACCCTTAGCTACATTTTCAGGCCTTCGGAGACAATCTACGATGTTCATACTCTGAGATTAAGGCCTCCACATCTTTGTGCAATTTAAAACAAACACTGTCATTGCAATCTCTCTTGAATCTCTTATGTAAATTGTTTTTTACTTTATATAAATCTTACTTCAATAAAATCATAAATATTTTATCCTTTCCTTCTCGACTCAAAAAGGATGAGTGAAGAAGGAAGGATCGGATCGGATGGTAGGAGAAGAAAATCTAGAAAGGAAAGGGATTATCTGGCTATTTATTGGAAGACCGGCGATTACATCGGCTGACGTAACAATTAGAGGCTTCAAATAATGTTTTTAGCCTTAAAAAGGCTCATTTCTATTTAGTTTCATCGTCGTTGTCTCCAAGAGAGAGAGAAAAGCGGAGGACTTCTTGGACAGCGGGGAGAATCAAGCGCGCGGCGCGGTGCGGGGAATAATGGCCGCTGATTGGCTCAGCGCTGAACTAGGCGCGCCCAGAATGAGCTACTGAAAAACCCATGCATTTTTTAGTAGCTCAGATTCTCGATCTCCCTTTAGAGCTCAACTCCATGGTAGAATCCATGCAGAAACAGGAAGGCTTGCATCGAATTTCAGGCTTTTCACTTTGACATTTGGGGTTCTTCTTGTAGGAGACTTTTGGGTATTCTTCGGAAGAATTTTTCTTGGTTCGGCTGCTGATCTGGTTTTTGTAGCTTCTGGTTCGCGGAAAGCACCGAGAAGGAGTCTTATTTCTTCTGGACTTATTTTTCCTGTGTCGACAAGTTCCTGGATGTTTGTGATTTCAGCAGAAAGATTATCGACAGTTTGAGACGTTTGTGGTACTGCTTCTTCTTTCACTGCAGTTGACTGAGCGTGATTATCCTGAGCATTTTGTTCCCGAAAAGCTGTCAATAGAACTTCCAGCTCGGTCATGGAAATTTTTCCATCATCAACAAGCTTCGAGACTTCAGAAATTGTTTGATTTTTGGAGTCTTCTGGTGTCTCTTGATTTTCAAGATTTTCTTCCTTTTTGATAATTCTGACAGTAGCTGGTCTTTCTCTTTCAACGGAGAAGATCATTCCATCGCGCTCAGACTCGAGAAAGTTTTTGGCTTCTTCTGAGTTAGCATTTTGCTGGGTTTCATTCATTGAAAGAAAGTCTACTGTAGGATTCTCGAAAATGAAGATCGCTTTTTCAGTACCGAGTCGACGTAACGGATTCCTGTCTGTTTGTTTAACAAGAGTTGGATCCTTTTTGACAAGCTCGCTGAGCTCAGTTTTTAGGTTAGTGTCGATCATTTCAGCATCTAGAGCGAGGGGAACCCATTTTTCTTCAATGAGTTTTTGAGCCTTTTTTTTATCTATGATTTTCATCGTGGAGAAGGATGTTGATTGGTGTGAAGACGGCAATTCTCTAGGTTTAATCTCTCGGTAGTACGCGTTTTTCGAGTGGGTTTGGTAAAGAACTCAGTCACCAATTTGTAGTGCTTTTGCAAAGAGACTACAAAAGAGGCTTGTGAGTGTAAAAAGTATATTTATTTGTGAATGTTGAGCGGTCTTAATTTCGCTGAAAGAAAGACAGTAAATATATTGTTAACAGAAAAACAGTGAAAGGGTTACTCGCGCAGTGATCGGTTCACTCGGGCAGTGATCAACACTTGAGTAGCACTTGAGTTAGCATTGATGTTCAGTAGCTCTTATGTAAAGACACTACATATTGAGCAAATTCAGAAACATCCTGACTTGTCAAATCTTGGGATTGCCAAAGGGTTTTTTCGATTAGGATTCTTGTCATAAACAAGAATAAGTTCCTTGTCAGTGAGGTCAACAACCGTTTTATAGTAGAGCTCGTCTCCCATGATAGCGAGAAAATAAGCTTACCGGGCAACCTTAACCTTTGTGAGTCTGGTCCTTGAAACCAAGTTTTTGGAACGTCGAGCGGCACTTGATCTCTGTCTCTAACTGGATTTTTGAGCGTTCCGTTTTCTTCAGTCACCAAAATATGTACGTGTTTCTCACAGTACATATGTTGGATAACTTGTTGCGTTTATCGTATTCGCGAGCGGGAATACAAATAGTGAGCGACGAACGTTGTGTTAAAAAGAGCAAGTTTTTTTGTGGTGTCTCTGAGTAAAAGTAGTATGGTGTGTGATGTGTGTCAGTGAGAAATAGTGATCGTTTATATATGGTTTTCATATGTTGTGACGAGCGTTCGAATCGTGATGGGTAATTTTAGAGAAGTAATGAGTTGCTGCTACTCCGTTGTGAACTGAGCTTTGCGGATCGCGGCTGAACGTTCGCGCGTGGTGAAATGCACTGCGCGGGCCGTGAAAAGCGTTTCGCTGCTGGTGAACTGCGCGCGGCGCGGCGAAATCAAGTGCGGGTGACATGTTAGAAACACTACACGATGACTCATCTGAAAAACGCGCTAAGGTACAGGTAATTCACTCGCAGAAGTCACAAAATGCGGATGTGTATGATGAAGAAGATAACACGGAAGAAGTTCAAAAAGAACAGCCGCCAATGACTGAGTTAGAAAAAGAGATTCACATGTATCGCAATTTGAAATATATGAAATGGAGAAATTCTCAGCCTTTTCCCGAGCACAACGCTGAATCGAGCTACTTTAGAAGTTTTTGGGAGAGCCACAAATTTTCCATGCCCATTTTATCAAAAATTGCGCTAAAGGTAAGAGAGTCAGCCTTTTAAGAATCAATTAACTTCTATTTTTATGAAGATTGCCAGATTATCCTCATCATCGAATGAAGCGGAGCGAGAGTTTAGCTGTCTTTCATATCAGATAGGCCCGAGTTTCGTGAATCAAAGAGCAGTTCATATTGAAAAAACAACAGACTGCAGAGTACAATCGATTCAAAAAAGCGCTGAAAAAGTAATTCTCGAGAAAGGCTCAATCATCTCTACTTCATCAAAAACCAAGATTTATCTTGTCTGAGTAGGTCAAACTAACGAAATGGTTCGTGTTTACAGTAAATAACTATTACTTATAGTCTCAGCGGGCGCTCGAGTAAAGGTGTTACTTAATCCGGTGTCAGGTGCAATCGTGATAAAACTACCATATTTTCACAAGTCAGTGACAAGGCATAGACTAACTTACATTCAAATTTTCAAAGTGATCGAATAACTCGTTTGGTAATAACGGCGCATCAAAGTCTTTAAGGGTAATGGTATACATCGGCGCGGCGCCGCTCGCTCGATCCACGCTCCGCAAGAACCTATTTCTCACGAGGCCGTAAAATCTGAACGGATCGAGATTTTCGAGATTTAAACAGATTCAGAATCCTCAAAGTCTCTTCTACAAACTGATCGAAAATTAAAACAATTGTCAAAGAGGAACAATGTGAAAAGTGCCAGTTTCCTTCAAATGACATTTTCTCCTGAATTTCTCATCCAAATTTTTGAAAATTAGACTGTCTTGTAGAGAATCGTCAGCTCTACAATTCCTGTTTTTCAGATTTCTGTTTTAAGCTTTCATTAATTTTACATCGCAATTTGTAAAGAGCGCTACTTCTTCTCGCGCCTCTCCGCTGCATATTTCTCGCGCCGCGCTTGGTTTGAAGCTAGAAGGCATAATTTTTGAAAGCCTAAATGAAAATTCTGAAAAACAGGAATTGTAGAGCTGACGATTCTCTACAAGACAGTCTAATTTTCAAAAAATTTGGATGAGAAATTCAGGAGAAAATGTCATTTGAAGGAAACTGGCACTTTTCACATTGTTCCTCTTTGACAATTGTTTTAATTTTCGATCA